AATGCTGTATATATATACATATATACACACACATAAATAACATTATGCTGTTACTGACTCTGCTAGGTTTTTCATAAATTTATGCATGCTTTCAAAATTATTTTAAAGGCTAATATCTAAAGATTGTTAAATTACAGGGCATCTCTGCCTTTTGCAAGCTGCAATTTTAGAGACTCAAAATCTGTATAAAATCCTTTCTCTTTTCCTTTTGTGTTTTTATTTATTACCATTGAAGGCATCTTTCATCAAAACTGTGAGTTCAAAACTGATAGTTTCATGACTAAATCATTCAGTAGCTTATAGGATATTCAGAATTTTTGCATTTGTTTTTTAAAAATTATCTTCTAAGAAGCACTGAAGGCCAAAAAATTCCCACTTTGGAACCTTTTTTTAAAAATGTCTCTAGATTGTTTTGTTTCCTGACATTTTGTCTTACCTAAAAGGGAGTAATTTAAGAAAAACCTTAAATGGTAAGTGGCAAGGCAGCTAAAATTAAAAATATAAGAGGGTTTTACTTACAGATTATATATACAACCCCTCTGAAAAATCATGTTTTGAAGATGGGTATCTCCCATTCACAGTGTCCTGATATACACAGAGCAGTGGGGAGATGGGCTGGTTTCAATTTTTTGGAAGATATGTACTGAGAATGTTCTCGGGAGTACTCCTGTGAACACTGTTTTGGAGCTATTTCTGTCTATTTGTTTTGCATCAGAAATATGAACTCTTGAGCTTTAGAATACAGCCTTTTATGTGACTTTGCTTATTTCTACTAAGAGATTCAGCTCCCTATAAAGGGGGAAGATGGGTCCTATCCAACTGAGTCTAAAACATGTGTTGTCATGCATAGGTATTGTTGATTGTTATGGAGATACAATTCCTGGTAGGTTCACATTTTAATAACTAAGCCTGCTGTAACTGAGAAAAACTGAAAAGAAAATACGTGGTATAGATTTTCAAGCTGAGTAGTATTTTTGTTCTTTGACTGAATCTCTCAGATTTGGTATACTGGAAGATAAACTCAATTTTCTGTAGCAGGAGAAAAATGATCCTTCATTCTGATTAGAGACCTGTTGCTTCTAATCAGAGTTTTGTTCATATGAGAAGTGGGGAGAAAATAAAAAGTGTTAGAGAAGAACATTAAAATGCAATGTATGCTCAGTAGTGGTTTCCTTTTCACTAAAGTTTTTTGGTTGAAGAGTGATTCAGGACTAGTAAAGCAAAACATCTGAAGATTAAAAAGTTTAACTTCATAAATAAATCCTAGTCTAAGAATTAAATATGAAGCTATCTCTTTTCCTAGAATGTAAATTTTTGTTGCAAAAGATGTACTAGAGACTGGTTTCTTTATATTCTCAGTGAAAAAAGCTTTATCCATGAAGATGAATACTTTCTTCAGCGGGACTAAAGATTGTGGGTTTTACCTTAAAATATTCCAAGGCTATGCCATTTTTCATGTTTTGGAAGAAAAGCATCTTAGAAAAGGAACACCAGGCATAAATCCTGAGAACCTTTCATCTGGTTCCTTTATTTATTTGTTGAATAAGCAGTGAAGTACAGTAGTGTGTAGGTGTAGCCACATTAGGGTTGTTCATAGATACACATCTTTGGCAGGTCTGACTTTACAGCAACTCCATAATATCCATGTTTTGGCTTCTCCTTTACTTTGCACAAGGGAGTGTTTGTTTTAACCCAAGGTGTTTGTAACCAGGAGTGCCTGCCACACAAATAATAGTTCTTGTCTGAATACCAGAAGTGCCTATTTTGACAAAGTTATGGCAATTGAAGCGAACCAGAATGGCTCTTGTCTACGTCAGAACATTTATTTGCAAGGTGGACATGCAGGTGACATCTGCCTTTTGTTACTACTCCTGATGATCCACGTAGATCTGTCATTTCTATATGTTGCATTGATGCTTCAGTAGAGGATGGCATCAATAATCCAGATATTTCATTCGTACTGACGTTATTTCAGGCTAGGACCACAGAAGCAGCATGACTTGCTCTGCAAATTGTGACAAACTTCCCAGGATATATGTATAGCAAGGCAGTGAGGCTGAGTTTTCAGTGTTTTTCATTCTCTTAACTGCTGAGGCAGCTTGGTAAAAGAAGAAAGGTAGTAAGTTAGGAGCTGATGGATGAGGAATTAGTCTGGATAGCAGTATAAAAACAGAAGTGAACTGGCACAGAAGTGAAGAGGCAGTAGAAAGAGGAATAAATTAGAAAGAGAGGATGAAAAAATAGCAAGAAATATGAGTTGAAATGTGTGGAGTGAGATGAGGGGTGGAAAAAAGGAAAGCTGGCTATGGTGACCTTCTTGTCCCTTTCTTTTCCTCTTTGAGAACCTGAAAATTTATCTATAATTTTGCTATCACAGATACATTGACATCCCTTGTCTTGTTAGGAGGGATGGCAAAATTTATTTATTTATCTATTTATTTATTTAAACCAGTGCATATCAAGTATTTGTTGAGTCAAATACTGCCCCAGCTAGGAGATAATATATTAAGAGTGCCTGGTAAGCATTAGTTTGAGTCAAGCAAGTGTGCTGTGGTAGGCCTGCTGCACTTTTACACAGGAACCTTTCCACTTATGATACACATGGTAGGATACTACATAGATAATAGGAAAATACAGCATATCTTGGAGTTCTTGCCTTCTTTTTTCTACTGATAGAAAAGGAATTAAGCAAAGGGAAAATAATAACAAGAAGGGAATGGGTTATTCCCAAGTCAGGGCAATAGAAGCCCATGGGAAACAGATGTGGTTTGCTGATGTACCTCTTCCTGACTCTTCACAACAACTTTGTGTCTGGTTGAAAAATATAAAGCTTGATTTTCATAAGCATTGAGTATGCAGTTTCAGCTGAAGTAAATGAGAGCTTATTGTTTTGAACATTGGGCTTTGAATTTTTATTGTCCTTAACAGAGACACATAAAACCAAGTTCATGTTTCAAGTAGGCTCCCTAAGTTTAATGGATAGCAGTGACAATTTGGATGCTAATACTTCTTTTTTCCCCAACTCAAACTTGTAGCAAGTCTCATCATGGTAGATGTGATTTCAAGATAAACTTCTTCATTTTTGCTGGTACATACTGTGGGGATAAATGCCTAGACAGTAGAAAGGGAAATAAATTCTCTCTGCATGGTCAGGATGAGTGCTCATTAAATGTGGTGTATGCTGTAACAGTTTTAAAATAATAATATACCTTTTATAGAATAGGGTATAATAATTGATTCCACTTCCATTTCGAATTCTAAAGCTTGTTCATAAGTATTTTGAGCACACTTTGATTGTGTTGGGAATTTTAGCAAGTGAAATTAAGATTTCCCATCTAAAGTCATATGTTCAGGAACAATGTTGTGTGCCAGGATGTCTTGGCTGGTAATTCTTGTTTTCTGGTCTGGAACATCTTGGTACCATATTCCATGTGAGTGTAATCGCCTGTCATTACTGAACTTGTCATTCTGGAATGGGACAATTTGTTAAAATCTGTCCTTAAATTTTAAGTATACAAAACTAGGTCCCTTTGCATATGTTTCTAGTGGGGCAACTTAAAATTTTGTGTGTCTTAAAAAGGGATGGGCAGGTTCCAAGGTCTAACTTAATCTATTTGAAAAGATGTGTGTGTGAGGGAGCACATGTTTCCATGTGCTCATGTGTTACCACGTGTTTCCTTATGTAGATAAATCCATGCCAGGTGTGGGTTCATTTGACATAAATACAAAAGAAAATCTTTTTTAAACCCGCTAACAGTAGGAAACAATTTACCAATACATGAATAAGCAAGCCATAGCAAAAGAGAGATGATTATGAATGTTTTAATTGCATTTAGAATAATATCAAATTAGTGAATAAAACTTTTTCAGACTGAGAAATACAAAATTTTTCTCTGTTTCTTGATGAATAGTAGTGAGGTGGAATTTCAGCACTGATGCAGTCAGAATAGTGACTGATGGAAATTTCTTAATAAGAAATAACATGATTTGAAGGAAATGTTTCCATCCAAATCCTGTCATAAGCAGAGAAATTATTGCAAGAATGAGACCAATTGTGGGAGATGTCTTTGATATATTTTACAAAAAGAGATGGCCAAAGATGCAGGTTAAAAAATGCAGAAGAGAAAGGGCAATGAGACTTCTTGTTTTTGTGTGACATATATGTGGCCTCTATCACTGGCAGTAGTTTGCCATCTTCTGGTCCTCTGACATGTGGCAGCCAGCAGCTTTGTTTCTGTTTTGCAGTCAGAAATGTAGACACTGTCTCTGCACTAAGAGGATACAATGAGCTATGAATTTACAGCATATCAGCTCTTCCACCCCAGTTCTCTTTGCAGGGTTTTGGGTACAAGTAGTACTCTATCCTCACTTCATGTCAGGGGAGATAGGTCATTCCATGTTCAAAATGTCCATGCCAGAAAGTAATGCCAAGAAGCCAGTGATGGGGAAAGTTCACTTAGCAGTGAACTTTTCTTGACAATTTCTAGCTAAGCCCCTTTTGTAGAAGAACTTTCCTGGTGACATAAGCCTCATAGTGGAGAACACAGCTGTGTACAGCCTAGGGATGACTTCAGTTCCTGTGCTTTGGCATATGGGCTTCAGCCTGTAGAAATATTAAAGCAGTAGTGCTGTCATGCGTCCTTGCAGATTTGTCCAATGAACATTAATTAATTCACAGAGTCACACACAGTCACAGAATGAAAAAGGAGCCACTGGAGGCCATCTGGCCCAAGTTCCCTGCTCAGGCAGGGTTCTCCAGACCACTTTACTGAGGACTGTGCCCTGACACCTTTTGAATATCTCCAGGGAAGGAGACTTCATGGCCTCTCTGGGAAATCTGTTCTAGTGCTTGGTCACCCTTAGTTGTCAACAAGAAGATATTTTTGATACCGTGTTCAACATCTAAACATGGTAAAACTGCTCTTTCAAAAATTTCTGCAATGTAATTTCATAACTGCTTTTAGTAAAGTTAATTCCTTATCTATGTTTTTAATTTGTAGGTACATTGAAACCTTGAAGGAACACAAGCCAAAAATTGTCTGGGATGAACAAATTGCTGAACACTATTTTGAATATAAAAAGTAAGTTACATTTATTGACTTACCATTTTGCAAATATTTTTGGGCATGGGCCAGTGGCTGTAGTATGCAACTGAATTCAGCAAATGGAAATTCTGCTGGTTGCGATCTGTTTGTCAACACGGAACTGTGGCATAAAAGAGTGGCTTTTGGGTGAGAGGAGAAAATCAGAGAAGGATTCATGAAATTACATAAACTAGAACAATCTTTAGAAGAGAAGTCTGATGAGTCGTATCTTTAGCAATTATCCATCAAAGTTATCTATTGAGTGTCAGTTAATCAGAGGCTCTGAGATGAGTACTGTGAGCTGTCAGGTAATTACCAATAATTCACCCAAAAATAGTTCTGAGAAAAATCTATGGTACAAGAGCCTGGTTTCACAAGTTCTGCTGCTAAGATTGTTTAAGCGGCAAACTTCCACTATATGGAATGGACTGTACAGAAATGGAATGGAAGTAAAAATAAGTGACTTCCTGGTAAAGTTTGTGAAAGAACTGATAGTGTTAAGGGTAATAATGTTCTTTGTCCTCCCTTGTTCATGAAATGACAAGAGGATTCCTGATCTAGGAGGAATCCATTTAGAATAGATTTAAATAAACAAACACAGCAACATCTTATTAATCCTCTGATAATTTACTATTTTTATGTAAATATACCAAAATATGCAAAATTATACAAACAAATCCTAGTAAATCTGCAAAATGATGTCTTGTATTTTACTCAGTGCATTGTTAATGTGAAGACACACAACTGAAAGGAAGAATAAAACACATTTTAGAAGCTTTTAATAAAAACAATCAAAACTTCTTTATTTCCAAAACAGTCTTGTCTAAAATATTTTTAAATATTACCAAAAAACAAAAACCAAAACTAAACCTACAAATCTCCTACCTTTGTATTTTTTTTCTTCTGACTTTCATTTATCAGAAAAAATAAATCTGTCGTTCAGCAGTGTTTTAATTTGTTTTCTGTGTTTGTATGAAAGGACAGAGATCTGTATGCCTTCATTTTTAATTGACATACTCTTGCAAAATTACTTTGTACCAAGCAATTGCAGTTTTTTCTGTTAGCTAAAGAGGAATAAAGCAGAAGCTCTGGTTTACTGATCTTTAATGTTCAGTCCTGTTGGAGACACTGAGCAGTAGATGAAAGCTTACTCTCAAAAAAGTAACTCTGAGGAAACTCTGTTTGAATGGCATGCTTCTGGGATTTGTGTCTGAGTCACATTTCCTACATGGCAAAATGAACTTGTGGCAAAGGGATAGCTTGTCAGTAGTACTTCTTCTTTCTTTGAAGCCAAACTTTGGAGGTTCTTGTGTGGGGGCATCCTGGAGAAATTTTTGATGGATGAAGCCCTCTCTGTCTGAAAATCACTCCAAACTTCACTTGTGCTTGTGCTGTGCTTAGCAGTCAGCTGTGTGGTTCAGCTCACTGCAGGAGAGGGTTATTTAAGGAACTCCTTCTCAGTACCACTTTGTTTTGCAAAAGCTCAATTATCTTGGACAGGGGTGGCAGCCAGGCCTGAAATATGTATGCCTCCCTAGTGAAGCTTCTCACCTGGAAATCTTGCATGTCTGCAGTGGCTGAGAAATGAAATCATGAATCTCTAAGCAAAGCACACCTAATGGTTTCATGTAGCAGGCAGAGACTGTCAATTATAAATAGTTGCAGAAATCTGAGTGCTTGTCCCAGTGTGCAAGCAAGTATTAATTTACTTGTTGTGAGATTTTAGGAGCAATTCCTTCTAGGTCTGTCCATGCACTCTCCTTTTTCTCCTGACCTAAGTAAAGTGGTGCTGTGAAACCCCTTGTAACTCATCCTTCTCATTACTATGGGTTTAAAATGCAACCTTGGTATTTGTGCCCAGTATAGCTTGCCCCGTCTGTATATTTTATACTGTTGGCAGTTAATTTAGCCTGAAAGATAGTAATTCAGGGAATTGGAGAAAATATTTCACAGTTTGCATCAGAAAACCAAATGTCTTCATCTTTTTCAGATGCACGTTTAGCAGGCACAACTGTCTGTTACAATCTGACAGCTTTGTCATCCAGTTGCAACAAAATATCTCAGTGTTTACTGTGATATGATATCAAGGCATCTCTGTTGTGTGATCTCTTCTTGGATCCTCTGTTTTCACTGTCAGCCTTTTTACAGTATCACAGAATCTCAGAATGGTTACAGCTAGAAGGGGCCAACCTGATTTTGAATTCTAACGTTAGTTTAAAATCCAGTTACCTATCAAAGTTATTGTGACTATTTGGTTTTCTTGTTTTGCAGAAATAAGGGAGGAAAACATGCAGTCTTCTACCCAACACTGAAGGTAGGTGCCACTTTCTCAGGTCAGAGGGTTGTAAGAGGACAGAAATGTTTACTTGACCTGTTTCATTATTGATACATTCAGAAAATGTTGAACTGAGTTTAGGCTTTTGGGAAAGAAGTTGGCCCTCATGTAAATGTTATGTAAATTGCTATGATTCAAAGCTTCAGCTGCCTATGCAAGAAGGTTGTTTTTTTCTCTCATGCATAATGGAGTTTTGGGATCTCTGAAGATCAAGCATGTCTAGGGATAAGACACACCAGGACAAAACAGTGCTGTGAGAGGATCGTTTTAGCTCATATACTATCAGACATGTTGTTAGCAGATTCTCAGACAAGATACCAAAGAAATTTTCCTTCTCATCATGGTGGGGGGAAGCTTAGAGAACTTTTGCCTTCCTTTGTAACAGGGTCCTGATTCTCCCTATCAGCCTTCATCACCCTATTTTCTTCAGTTCTGTTTCTGTGGAACATACTTTTTAGTGTTTTGAAAACTTCTATGCAATAATCTGCAGTAGAGCAGAATACAGGATAAAATGGTTAATTACAACCTTAGTTCCTAAGAAGTTACCTTTATATTTTCTCAAATTAAACTGAAGTCAGTGTGTTAATCTTCTACTGGGTTTTAGCATTGGAAGGAAATTGCTCTTTTGTAGTAAACTGCATTGTATTTACAGAGACCAAAGACTTTTTTTTTTATGGTTAAACTAGTACGAAATGATCTAAGGTTCTGTTTTCCTGGACAGGATTGTTATCTTTAGCACCATGAGTAAAAGGAGATTTCCCCTCATTAACCTAATATAAGTGGAAGTACTATCACATATGGGATATTAACTACCACGTCAGTGTTCTTGCTAGTGCTGCGTGTCTGAGCGTTAGAAAGTTTCATTGTGAATGTATCAGAAAAAAGAGCTTGTGCTGTTATGCAGTGTTTTCTTCCACCCCGGGGAAGGATTTCACTGTGCCATTCTCAGGACTAACCAGGTTAAGAACACTCATTCCTATACATTCCTTTCATTATTTTTTCTCTAAGAGATCACCATTCAACTGTGGTGACTGGTGAATGCATGGAAATGGGTTTTCTTTCCATTTTCCACATGCTTGTAATGAAATATTTTGAGATTTGTTTACTGGTCAAGATTTGTTTACTTCACAATTGTTGGGAAACACTGAATGTTACTACCTCATGAAAAATGTGTTTCTTTCCCTTAACGTTATAATCATTGCCAAGTTGCTCAAAATTAGTTTGTTCATGACTAGTTAAAAGCACTCATGAATGTCACTCATGAATGCTGTGATAATTTATTCTGTTTCCCATGGAAATGTTTTTAAGCTCATCCCTAGTGTGAGTAGTTTAAACATTGCAGTCCTGCAGTTCAAAGTAAGAAAACCTGAGAGCAAAAGATTGAAAAATCTTTGTTTGAGCTGAAAAAAAAGGGCAGAACATGAATTGTGGCATTAGTTCCCTTGTTAACCAGTAGCTAAATTAACTCTTCTAAATTAACGGCTGGAGCTCAAATAAAGATACTTTTAATTATTATCTCCAAGAATCTCTTTAAAATAGAATTTTTGAAATGTAAATTGTGACTCTGTCCTGGGAAAAGGCAAGGGTAGGCAAGAGATCTTGATGGTATTTGACAAATCGTTCTGATTGTCTTCAGTGATAAAGTTTTATTTTACCCCTGAGATATTTCTGGGAAGAGTTAGAATTTCTGTACATCGTGAAATTATAGCCTAAATTAGAACAGTCCTTTGCATAGTTCATAAATCTGATTTATTTCTGTGGCATTTTGTCAATTTAGCTGGTAATCTTTTATTAGGTCATTGAATTAACTGGTACGATTAACTGTCTTTGACTGAATGATTGCTTTCTAACCAGAGAGTATTTGAAATACAGATGAGGTTTTTCAGTAGCTGGTTCAAGGGTAGATGTTTTTAAAAGGCCTGATAATGGCATGAAGAGATGGCAGTATGGAGTGTCTGATATCTCTGACTGAGACGTGGTTGCTTTATGTGTCTTTCTCTTAGTCCATCCAGGTGCGCCTGGAGCTTGCAAAAGAATTGGGCACTGGAATATCCATCTGGGAACTGGGACAAGGCCTGGACTATTTTTATGACCTGCTTTAAAATGAGAGATGATCTGAGAAAGACTTTATTTGCTTCACTGAGGCTCCACCTTGAATTAATCTGGGTATCCTGGAGAGGTGATTTTTAAAATATTTTTTGTAATTTATATCATATCTGTATTAAACTTCCATTTTTTTTTTTCCCAATAAAGAATCTTTTTTGATTTGCCACACAGACATGATTGTTGGTATCTGATAAAACACAGAGTAAAAAAAAACACAGAAATTTTTCTTAAAACATGCGAATTCCGAGTCATTGAAAACAGACCAACGTATCTGGATGGAGTCAGAGTTGAAAATATTTTCTGAAATGTTTCCTACAAAAAGAAAAATGGAAAAGTTGATGCCATCTGATCAGAGTTTTAGATAGAGACCTCTCAAAGAGCTGCTGGTAATAATCAAAGTAAGAGAACAAATAAATCCATCACATTACACCCAGCAAATTTAAAATGTGCTGGACTCTCTGCATCTTGCTGTCTTCTGGTAAGGTAAGTGAACATAAAATGTCAGGAGAGGAGAACAGTTAGAAGACTTTCCCTCAAGCTGGTAGAAAATCAAGCACTGACAAGCTAAGCTGTTGGCTCTGTTTGTTTTGTCATGCTAATAAATTCCTTAAGTAGTTCAAAGTCCCAGTAATTTCAATTTATGACCTGTTTCTAATAAAGTTCTGTTTCAAGAGGTGCTCTGTGATTTCTCTGTTCTGCTTAGCCTGCTTGGTGGCTCAGTTACAGTATTTAGCCCTGGAGCGTGATGCATTAGTGCCCAGTTTGTGGGAACTGTAACATTCAGCAACAAAGGCTCTAATGGTAATCATGGAGTCCAAGGACATGATGGATTCTGTGTCCCCAGTAGACAGAGCCCCAGCAGCTCTGATAACCCCTTGACTTTAAGCAGGCACTGTGAATGTCATCAGCACCTTTGTGCATGAAGCTGTCATTCTTCAGCTGCACACATTGGTGCTTTTGTCTCCGTAATATGGATTTTTTTAGGAACCCAACGGCTGTAAAAACCCATCAGTTTAAAAACAAAGCCTAGAAATTGTGTCCCTGCCTTCTGGTTTATAGTATTTGTGTTTGTAGAAATCCACAGGCTTCAAGGCAATTTTTTCTAAGGAACTTAAGAGGTGCTGGGAATTTGATGAGGGTGTCATTGGTCACCAGCAGAGACTCAGGCAAAGAGCTCTGTACTCCCACTGGTGCTCTTCTTGCCACTTACAGTTGTCACAAAGATGACTGCACTCCTCTGTTCACATCCACCCTTCCCAGTAATTAATCTCAGCAGGGAATTTATCTGCCCCTGCTGTTTTCAGCAGAATAAATCCCACTGTAATCCACCATTGATTAAAGAACTATTGATCTTCACCTTTCTGATTTAGTTCTGGCATCTCTCAAACTTCTCACATTGTGAGTATCCAGCTGGGCTTACTAATCAGGTTTCTTTCTTCCATACCATTAGTAGTAAGAAAATTTGCTACATGAATCCTTGTGTTCAATTAACTTGAACTTTCTAGTTCGTTCAAAAGCAATTTAAAGTCGCTCTGGCAATGGTATCTAGACTAGCACAAGAATTAAATTCTATTACGCTGTTTTTTCTACTTTCAGTGGCACTATTGAACCAGTGTCTCAGAAAAAAATACGCAGAAATGGAAGGGGTTATGTCCTGAAATAGCATCCATCTTTATTGTAACTAGTAGGTAGCTTCCCAAATTGGATGTGGGGAAGAAAATGATATTTCATTTTAGCTTGTTTCCTCTCTAGAAAAGATGTACATAGTTTATTGCAATTCTAATTTTGTTTATATTCTGTGAGGATTTTTTGTGAAGTTCATGATTCCTGTTTGTCTCTGACATGTTAAAAAAGCCAAAATTTTTTTCCATCCTTAGAGGTAGAATAAATACCTCTGTGTTTCAAAAAGATAAAACTAACCCTTGCTGTATCATGAAAAATAAATACCAGGTAAGAAGTACCAGATAGGATTTTGAGCCATTCACGATACGTTAGTACTTGAGGCCAAGAATGTTACCTTTGTCTCTGAAAGCAAAAGATGTTTGTTGCTTTAGAAATAATATTCTAAAAGAAAAAAAAAAAAGTTGACATTATTCTTAATAATTAAATTCTCTGTTAAAAAAAAAAAGAAAAGAAAAAATGAGCATCAGAAGGGCTGTGAACCCCAGAATTAATGCAGAACAGCTTCTGATGGGTTGGTCTTGCAATTTCCCTAATTTTTCAATATGTAGGAATGTCAGGTTGTATTGTAATAACAGAGAATTGAGAAATCAGTGAGCCACAAGGAAAACAGCTTTCTTTTGAAATTTTCACCTCAACACATTTATGAAAAGATAACACAGGAGATGCAGGTATGAAAGGAGGTCCTGCAGAGCATCTCCTTTTATGACAAGTGGGGAAAACTGCAGAAGGGGGGAGAGAGTGCTGAAGTGGCAATTCATTATTTATTCCTAAATTAGAAAAAAAAGCAAGCGTTCCTAAAGGGAGGTACTTGGAAGGGCAAGGCCAAAGGTACTGGACATAAAGGATCAAGGGTATGACTGGGGAGAAGAATTTAGTGTCTCAATTAAAACAACTTACACCTAGTATAGTGAGCAGTGAAATGGAAGAGTGTTTCTTTGAACACAGTATATTAAGTTTTCTAAGCTACATTTAACAAAAAAAAGGTTTGCTGTATACTGGCTCTGTTGCAAGCAAAAAAAAATTTCTTATATTTGTATAAGATCCCAAGCACTAAGAATGTAAAGGTATCTTTGGTTTACCTGATGCCAAATGGAGATTTCTTCCAACTGACCTTTGCTCTTGTATTTCTGGGCAATTTTCTTTTTTGGGTGAGACTTACACAGAGTAAATACATTTAAGATAAAGTATACATTAATACATTAAGATAAATACATTTTTCTGCACAATTTTTATTGCATTCACTGAGAAAAGAAATAGCAGCTGATTCTGTTGCAGCTGGCCTTTGATATGAAGCTGGTATTTTTATTGTCAATTATCATCAGACACATCATTTTAACAGGTATTGGGCAGGGGTTATATCTGTATACCACTACATACCTTACCAAGACAGAAAAGAGGACTTACCTGGGTGCTTGTAGGATCACATGGACCATTCTTTTGGGATAACAGCATCCCATCTTATCTCCTGTGTTAAGTGTGTCCTGAAAGCTTGACCTGCCATACAGTCTTTGGAATGAGAAGCAGATTTAACGGAGAGTTGTGGAAGATAGTTGTTTTGCTTTGCCTCATTGTGAGGTACTACTTCTTCAAGAAAAATTGCTATAGTATTTCATGTTATAGTTCCCTTTTTTATTGTATATATGTATGAAACTGCAGAACCAAGTGTAGCTACCAGCTGGGAGAGAAAGAGGAGAGATAATGTGGTAAGGTAGACCAAAGGATGACAATACTCAAACAGGTTCTTTAACCACTTCTTAGTTATAAAGAATGGTTCAGTGAGTTGTAACAATTTAGTGTTTATGGGCTCAAGCAAAAATAGGAAATGCTTTTTTCATTTCTGCTGTGAGCTACCAGTGGTAATCATTTGTAAGGGTGGGGGAAATGTTTTGTGCATGCTCGTCTGTGGAGACTGCAAAGCTAATGGATGTTCACAGGAACTGTAATTACAGTCTCTCCTGAATTTGGGACATGCCTTTTGAAGTTTACTGTTTTGATTAATACGCAGTACAGCTCTGTGACTTCAGTTAAACAAATGGCAGTGCAAAGCAGATGGATTCTGCCTTTACAGCTTGGAGAGGTTGTATGCAGCTATTTCCTGAAAATAACATTCCTTCGGTGATTGCTTTTATATGTAATAAGTGCAAATTAAGTAAGCCCGAATTGGTGTTTTGTAGTCTGCCAGGCAATCACTTTGATAGTCTGTGCTGGGGAAAAAAATATCATCTTTTTAGAAAAAAACCTAGCATAATATGAAAAAATAACTGGAATATAACTGGATTAATGTTGCTTATTCAAACAGTTGCAAAAATAATTAACATCGCTAATCTTGCTAGTATATGAAATTAAAAGCAAAATGTGTTTTAAAATATATTCTATTGGAATGAGAACATTATAACAAAATGTTATTTTTCAAAAAAATTTGGATGAATGGAATCTAAGACTCAAAATTTAAAGCTGTTTTACATTCCTACTTATATCAGTTACCTTTTCTGGATATATTTCAATGTTTAATTGGTTACAGTGTAACTGACAATCATTTTAGTAAAAATACTGTAGAAAAATTTGTATGCTATTTTTCCTAGAAACAACTGTACTCTGACTTCCAGCACTTGAGAACTTATTCTCCATTTAACTGCTGAGACCACTAATCTCAGCAGACGTAGACATAGTGGCAGAAGGGCACAGACCCTCTCGTGTAGATTGCACACCATGGGGTTTTCAGCGTGACTTGCTGTAAGGCTTCCCAAATCACTGCATTTTTCTGCAAATCCAGGAGCAATTTCTCAGAGCTGGGCTATCTAATTTTCCAGCTTTGTCATCTTTTGCTGTTCAGTTCCTGCTCTGTGTATGGCTGCAGCAGGACTGGCTGAGTGATCTGCCTCACCTTTCTCAAAGGTTAGTGTGGATGGAGAATAAGATTATGGTATTTCAACAGTTTCCTCCAGTATGTCAAGTCTACAGGCTATAGCTACCTCTGCTGCTTATCCTACTCCAAAAGGTAATACTGAATTTTGTTTTTTTATTTTCAAGTGTTAAAGCAGTTAAAAAAACCCCCACACAAACATAGCTAATTTTCAGTAAACATTTCTATTCTTCCTTACAATCTCATTTAGGAATGGTCTGGGTAGGACTTTCAATATATTCCAGTCAGTTTTCTTCCAGAGCACTGGTGGAAAGTATAAACTCCATTATATGCTGTGTTTGCCTGCAGTTGTGGAGGATGGGACTGTGACTAAAAATAGCCAATAGGCAGAATTACTGCCCAGTGTAAGAAATTATTTAGGACTGTATGTGTCCATTTTCACCCAATCTCTACGGTTTCTTCTCTGATTTTTCAGGTGAATTCATGTGGGGCAGAGAAGTTGCTATATTTAGTATTGTTACAGGTTTTGCAATCTTTTTGTGCTTTCCTTTGCTCCACTGGGGGCTGAACAAAACAAATTCTGTGAGCAGATATGTTTGTATATCATGAGTAGATGAAAGCCCAGC